AGGGATCTTCAAGGTCCAACAAGAACAACATGTTCTCAAGGTCTGGAGGAGGAGGAGGTAAAGGAAAATGGTGCGAGAAGTGAAAAAATAAACACTCTGGAAAATATGGCAGGAAGGTGACTTGTTTCAATAGTGGAGAGACTGGCCATTACGCCAATGAGTGTATATTTACCAAGAAGGTGTGTTACTGGTGTAGGGAAGAAGGACATATTTATAGGGACTGCCCGAAGAAAAATACAGCAGCAAGGCCAAGCGCACAGCCAACGCTAAGGGCATTCCAGATGATCCTCGACAAAGAAGGTGATAATGCAAGGAATCAAGAGTGAGGACTTTATATCCGAAGATCAATATATGTATTAGCCATGCAGATAGTATCATGTGGTGTAGCCTATTAGAGGCATTGTATAGGGTAAACTTGAACATCTATGTAATCGTTTTAATAAATAATATAAACTTTGGTCTTGTTATCTGGTGTGTTGAGTTTCTATATGCTTTTATTATACGGTGACTTGGAAAACTGTGAGGCAATACTTGGGACAAGTATGAGTAGGTGTGAATGGTAATAGAGGCCTATACTACCGGAAGCACATGACTCGCACTTGGATCAGGGAAAGTCACAAGGTTACCAAGAAGCGAGTAATTGATTCTGTTTTGTTCAAGTATGTCGTTACCATCGTTTCGGTAATGACTAAGATGATGATTGTTATTCCGACCCTAGTGCTCATATCATATCGAGTCCGACTAAGATGAGTTAGTCACGTGGTTCAGATAACCAAGATCTATGTAGCATCTGAATCAAACTAGAAGATTGAAGTAAAAGATAATCGAAAACGATCAATAGAAGTATCGCAATCGTTGTTAAAGTAAGAAGCTTGTAGCTAGAAGTACTACATGCTAGAATGCGTTATTATCACATTGGAACACGAAGGAAGGTATATTCCGTTCAGAAACTTGACTATAAAAGACTTGAGTCTAAGCAGTGCATCATACGATGAGAGGTCATTAGAACATGACCCATCAGTCTATTATGGTAATCGAAGGAAAGAACTTGTCTTAAATTTGTTAAGAAGAAGGAGGAGTCTCCAATAAGGATCGAGATTGTGACTTGAAGGTCACGATTGAAAGTCCAACATGGGATAGAGAGCGGGTGCAAGATCGAGCACCGCGTGCAGACAAGAATTCCAAAAGTTAGATACTCATTCGAAGGAAAATAAAAGTTACGACCATTACCTAGGATGAAGAGATAACGTATGGAGTCATTATACAAGCCCTGTCTTGTTGATGATTCCGAGACGGAATCATCCTAAGGGGGAGAGAATTGTAACGCCCGTGTTTCGAGGCTAAGCATTGATACGATTATGTAAAACTTATGGTCAACAAATGTAACTCATTTTAAAGTAATAAAAACGAATTGTTTGAGTACTATGTGACTTATGAGAATGTGTGTGCTTTATACTTGCTTATAATGATATAATAAACTAAGAATGAAAATAAGCGTCAAAAATAAATGTTAGATAAACTCGATATCTATGAAGAAAGTTGTAGTGCTCGTGACAAGGATTCTGGAGATATAAAGAACGCCGAAATCCGAGTTATAACGAAGAAGTTATGACCTGTCGAAGTTTCGCCACAAAACTGACACGACGCGGTGGGACGTAAAAAGTGAGTTTACGATAAAGTGCTTTTTAGCCTTAGCGATCTAAATGAAAGTCATAGTATACGTTAAAACCGAGAGTGTGCATGAAAAGAACGTCCAAATCTGACTTCGTATGAGGAAGTTATGAATTTTTTAAGATTTGGCATAACAGTATGCAGCCCGGAGTTCGAATTTTAAATCGAGTGATTTTTAGCCGACACAACCTAAATGAGAATCGAATATCTTGTCAGAAGGAGCTCAACGATAAAAAGACAGACGAAAACGGACGTCGGATGACAAAGTTATGAACTTTTAACGGACTTTTCTTGTCCCGTCCTGTTAAAAATATAACTTTAAAAATAAAATCAAAATTAGCCGACGGAGTCTAAATGAAAGTTGTAGAGTATGTCTCTACCTATGCGTGGATATAAAGAACGTCTAAAACAGAGCTCGTATGCGAAAGTTATGAATTTTAGCAGTTGGGAATGAAATTTACGAAGGTTGTCCGAAGGGAACGTCTCGCGTAGAAGGAAAGAACGCCCCGCGTTCGGACACTAGGTCTCGGTTCGGCCACGATTCTCCATCCGAAGGTTGACACGTAAACCCACTCATGCACGCTGCGTTCGCCTAAGTGCCCTATGCACCGAGGAACGCATTGCGCTCCTCGTAGGAACGCCCTGCGTACCGAGGTTTCAGCCTATATAAAGGGGTGCGAGGCCAACCATTCTTTTCACACCAAAAACTTTTTCTTTCTCTCTCTATTCTCTATCTAAACCTCCCAAACACCCCCCCCAAGCCTAGGAAACCTCCCTAGCACTAAAAGAAATCCCTGGAGCGCCCGAAGGCTTCAAGAAAAAGATTTTTCGGTTCAGAAATCCCTGCCCCCGCAGAGTCCGGTTTTCAAGCAAACCTCTCGGTTTCGTCGAAGCGAAGCGTTGTCCAAGTTGGAATCACCACCTTATCAAGTGAGTGCATAGTTACTTTCATCTTACACATAGATATGAAGTATTTTATATAAATGACATGTTATGTGTGCATATTATCTGTTTATCTTGAGATCTATGTTGGATGGAAGATTTAAACTTCGTTTTTCAGATCTAAATTGTATATGTATTTTATGTCTTGAGATCTATGACGGATGGAAGATTTAAACTTCGTTTTTCAGATCTAAACTGTATATGTATTTGAGATCTATGTTGGATGGAAGATTTCAACTTCGTTTTTCAGATCTAAACTGTATATGTATTTGAGATCTATGCTGGATGGAAGATTTAAACTTCGTTTTTCAGATCTAAACTGTATATGTATTTGAGATCTATACTGGATGGAAGATTTAAACTTGGTTTTTCAGATCTGAACTGTATATGTATTTTGTATCTAGAAATATGTTGGGTAGAACATGGGTAGATAAATGATGAGGGATGAGAAATGATATAGAAGAATATTGGCAGCTGCACCACAATCTATAGATGTCTTTGAACTACGATCCTAGCAGCTGCGCCTAAAGGATAATATCGGTCGTTGCGCCTAATAGAGAACATCATAATTCTGGCAGTTGCGCCTAATAGAGAACGTCATAATCCTGGCAGCTGCGCCTAAATGATAGTATTGGCAACTGTGCCTAATAGATAACATTGGCAGCTGTGCCATAGGCAACGATGGACTTCGTGCCTAGTCCTTAGGATAATCCTTAGGAATGAATGAATAAATGATAACCGAATCACACACCCGATCCGCCTAGACTGGAACTCCCCACACTAAAAAAAACATCATAAAACCCTAATTAGAATTAGGTAACAACCCCAAACAAAAGTCTTGGTTTCAGACTGAATTACTTGGGTAAAAGACCATTTTACCCTTCCATGGTTAGGACTTAGGACCCACCCCTCATGACCTAACATCCACCATGACCAAAAGTTAGTCTTCTGGAGATATACCATGCGTACTCTTTCTCTATGCACCGTGTAGAGCATTTCGATGGAAAAACGGGGGAAAACTAGGCTATGCGTTGCGTATCAAGGATTACACCATGTGTAATCATGTTGCTTGCCAACTTTCATATTAAGACCTTAATACCTTAAGACCAAATGCTCAACTCTCAGATTTGAACCTAAAGGACGTCTTAAATGATAAAGTCAAAATTTTATGCTTTTGAATGGCTCAAAGGGGAACAAAACCAAACCCTAGGTCCAAAAACCACTCCAGAGCTAAAGGTACTTATCGGACGGCGAAGGCGGGACTGTACACACTCGCTTCAGCAGCTTAATGATTCGAGATTCCACAGTGTTTTCCTTATAACTCTGATTTTCAGTTATGATTTATGAGCAGTTGCTTTGGATTGATACTAACTTCATCAAGCGGGTGTTTATTTTCTTTTAAAAATGAAAAAATTTATTCTGGAATTTGGGACATTACAGATCGGTTATTGGATCATCCTAAAAATCCAATGGATAACCAAAACAATGCGATCCAATTATACATCCAACTTAATCCAACAAAAATCCAATATTATTATCCAAATCCAATTACTATTATTATATATTCAATAAAAAATTAAGTTGAAAACTTGAAGTTGATGTTACTTTGTTAGTCTTATTTAGCGTAATTATGTGCGAGTTTATTTCTAGTTTTTTTAGAACAACTTAATGCATTAAAAAGCTCTAGCAAGATACTAGAGAATACAAAAATTTACAAAGTAATGGCATTGATTGGATTTTTTAACCAATCAACCCAAGAAATTATAATTTTTTGGTTTCTACTTTTGAACCAAATGAACGAAAACTCCTTAACAGAGTCAAGAATCAACTCTTTCCTGAACTTATTTCTTCCGAACAGCATATTATATTTCTAAAATTTATAATGATCCAAAAAGTAGTATCTAACACTACTAGAAAAACAGCCTTTTACGACGCGCGGACCATGACACGCGCTGTTTTATGATACACAATAGTGTGTGCCCTAAAAATAGTGTCGGCTCTCCAAAAATTAGAAGGATTTAGGGCACGCATTTTTGCGCGTCCTACAATAAGTGTCACATTGAAAAAAAAACACGGAGGGCACATAACATAAAATGTGTGTCCTCTAAGTATGTCGCTTTATATTTTTTAAATGAAACGCGGGGTCACTTCTTTTGGGGGAAATGAAATTCCGAAAAGTTTGAAAGGCCCGCCATGTTATTACCTTCTTTCCACCGTTCTTCTCTCCCTAACTCAAATACCCCAAAAAAAACCCTAATACACTCTCATCTTTTCTCCCACAGCAAACTCGCACCATCACATACCTGTGGAGGAGATCGCTACCAGAAAAGTGATCTCCGGTTGGTTCCCTCTAAAGAATTCAAGTACTTGCCCCCGGCCGCCTTCCTCTACTGCTCCTTCTCTCTTCGACGTCCCTTTCTCTTATTCTCACTTCGACAAACCCTTTCTCTTCTTCTCAATTCTCGACATCGACTACTTCTCCCACCTCCGACGTTTCTCTTGGCGCTGGCGCCTCCCACCTCTGACTTCCGTCCAGCCCCGCCCCGCCGTCCAACGCTTTCCAGCGACACCCAGCCGGTGGAGCCCCTCCTCTCCGACACTTTCCAGCGAGACCCATCCAGTGGAGTCCCTCCTCTCCGACAGTGAAGTTTGCTCTTCAATTTAAAAATTGATTCTCTGGCCTGATAAATCAGTGAAGTTACTCCTCAAAAATCAATTTTGGAGTTGTTGGTCGAATCCCCTGATGTCGATTCCCAAGTGAGTTGTTTTTTAGTTGGGTTTTTTTTTCTGATTCCTGCAATTGTTGTTGCAATTGATGCTAATTTCCGGGATGTTGACTTTCTCAATTTCTGTCAAGTAGGTTTACCTCAATTCCTACAACTATGTCTGATTGTTTCGTTTTTTTTTTTTTTTGTGTGCCTCGATGATTATCAATCGTTTTAGGGTTGGGATTTTGTTGTATGATTCATACTTCATAATCATATCAATAATATAAGTATAAGTTTTTATTATTTTTCAGAAAACCAACAATCGGAATTAAACTTCAAAAATTATGATTTATGCATAGGGTGTACTTACAGAGACCACAGCAGAGTTAGCAGCATCACTTTCACTTGCTGCTTCAAGAAGGATAGTTGAAGCCGATGGGTTCATGAGAGCTGGCCTATACGATGGATGGCTTCCACATTTGTAAAATCTCATATTTACCCTTCACCAAAACCAAAACATTTTCTCCTTTATTGAATTGTTTAAACAATTACTCTTTATTAATTTGTTGCAGGTCGTATTGGATCTGCATACGCTAGAATGATGGTAAGGGTTGGAATTTACAATCTTACCCTTTTGTGATTAAACTAAACTTGAAAAAGAAAAACATTTGGTTAATTATCAGATTGAAGGATTCAAGATGAACTTAATTTATTATGATCTTTACCAAGCCACACGTCTAGAGAAGTTTGTTACAGCTTATGGTCAATTCTTGAAAGCCAGTGGCGAAGAACCTGTCACATGGAAACGCGCATCATCAATGGATGAGGTTCTTCAAGTAGTTGATGTCGTAAGTTTTCCATAATTACCCCTTCATATTTATTTTAATATTTATATCTATCTTATGTGCTAGTTCATCTCTATAAGTTTATAAGGATTTTGTTGGGTGTAGACAAAGGGATACACAAGGGATTGATTGTGTTAATCACATAAGGAAACAAATATTAGGATACATAACATGGGCTGAGAAATTAAGAAATAACCATATCAAATAAATGTATTATTAGGAATTTTGCAGTTAAATTGGCTTCTTAACTGTTTCAGTTAATAATTAATAGTTCCTGCTGGAAGCTATCCAGTAGCTCACATCTCATATGAGTTGAAAATGTTGCAGAAATTAGCAATACTATACTACAATTGGAAGTCCACTCAGGTTTCGCCTAGATTTTCCAATGTTATTTAGTTTCTACATCATTCCTTTAAATTAGTCAAACTTTGTTGTAATCTTTTGACCATGTTTGACTCTTGCAGGTGAATGGCTTATATATGGTACCTATCCAAGGAATCAAAAGCTATATGTGATATCATTCAATGAATGGGTGTTATAGTTTACTAATGGAATGGCTTTTTACCATTTGTACAGTTTTGGTGAGGAAATGAGACCTATAAAGCTGACTACTAAAGTTTCTGGTAATCACTCTCATCAAATATTATTTTTGATTTGTTTTCTTAAGTGCCTTAAATCCATTTAAAATATCATGCAAATACAAATCCAGATTTGATTGTTTGTTAAGTTACACCACAGTTCAATGTTTATTTCACTCTAATCTTTGTTTGTTTGAAATTGTACATATGATGTCCAATTAAATAATGCCATTCTTGCTGAAGACAAGCATTTGTCCATGTAAGTGTTCTTATCTTACTTTATCATGGTACATGGATATTACCTTGTTTTTCATGGTCTTATTCTGGTTTGAATTGTTTCTAGGTATGATGAAATGTCATCCAAATTCACTATAGAGTACATTGCTAAAGGTGCTACTCATAATTCAATCAGAGTTTCCCAGGTAAGTATCTGCAACATTTTTGTGATTGTTGTTCATGAAAGTGAAAAAAGACAGATTTACCCTCTTTATGATGGTTTGCAGTGAATTCTTCAAATCCTTGGTGCAACAAGTTACATGGGTTTTATGTGGCCTTTAATTTGCACGCTAAGTGTTTGTGAAAAGTCCTTATCAATGATTTGGCATTTAGATGCACCTTTTGGGATTGAGAAAGATGGGCCTTCTTGAGTTGATCTATTATAATGTTAGAAAGGGTTAGAATTTAGAAGAATGAAATAAATTTATATGAATGTTTGATTTTATAAAAAAAAATATGAATGTTTTAACTTTGTTGTTTCTCTCTCAATTACATTTGTCTATTATTGGAATGATTATTTGTATGACATTAACTTTTGTGCAATGGATTGTATTTTTTGTATATGGTATTTTATTTCTATTATGAGACATGAAATGCAAATTTAATTTGAAAATTAGTAAATCTATAAATAATTTTAAAAAAAAAAATTAAAATTACGATACGCAAAAATGTGTGTCATCTTCGTTTATGACATGGACTTTCTTGACAGAGGTTTAATGATACGCATTGCGTGTCATATATGCGCGTCGTAAATGCGCGTCGTCTATAAATGACGCGCAAAAGCGTGTCGTCTTTCGTTATGACAGGGCCTTTCTTGACACACATTTGCGCGTCGTCTGAGCGTTTTACGACACGCATTACGCGTCGTAAAAGGCTGTTTTTCTAGTAGTGTAATATCGATTCCACAATCTTCTTTCTCTTAGAATTACACAGAAGCAACTCCAACCAATAGCGATTTTATTTTTAGTTATCATAGTTATATTTGGTTATTCAATAGAAAATGATTAAAATTGGTTGCATAATGGATAACCACTTTATTAAACCAATCAAAAATATCTAATGGATAAAACTAATCCAATCCAACATCTAATTAGATCGGTTCAGTTTAGATTTTTATACTAAATTGGATTGGATCGGTTGACAAAATCCAAAATTCAATGGATGATTGGATTGTATTGGTTCCATCGAAATCCATTGGATTTAAACCGATGAACACCCCTAGTTTTCCAAATCACTTCTGATCATTTACTATAATTCCATTGAACCTTCACTAATTGTAACAGCTCTTCTTCCTTTTCCTCTTCTTCGCCATTCTCTTCTTTCGTGGTCACACCCACAATAGGATTTAGAGGAGTCTCGGGTACTCCTCGTGGTGTAGTGGCATTAATTCCAATTAGGTTGTCTGCTTCTTCAAGGTTACTCTGGTAAACCTCCCAAATATTCATGAAAACATGATAACTACAAGAGAGTTGTGTTCCAAATTAGTCGTTGGATTACCCCTCGTTACTTCCGTATAAGTTTAAGTGTTTACACAAACTCCTAATCTGCTTATACACGACTCTAATACTAACTTGTAACATCCAAATTTACAAACATAATAAATACCAAAATAATAATTATTTTAAAATCTATTATGATTACTTCTTACTCTTATTATTGTCTAAACTAAAATGGAAGCAATAAAAGGGTCGTCGACTGAAGAGCTTCATGTATTATGTCCTCACGAAACTCCTCTGTCGTCTTCTCGTTTAAGTCTTCTCTTTTTCATTTCCATTGCCACTTGTTAAATAGTTTCCTAGGTTGCGTATATTTAAAGTTCTAATTGGGTAAACTTTGAGTCTAGGGAGTTCGTGTTACACATAAGGGAACGTTTATACAAAGAACGAACCAAAGGCTCTTTTCCCTTCCCTTTTGGAACAACCTAGCCATTATTTTCAAGTATGTAAAATATCCAAGGAAGTGAATATAATTCTCAATTTCCATCTCTACTGATTACACACATCCGTCATGTTCACGCCTATTAAACACACCTGTTTGCACTTAATGTGTCATCCCAATAAGTCACATAGTATATAAAACAAGTCCAAATAACATTTACATGCAACTATATTTATCATAAAACATACTTGAATCAATAAATAATTAAAATTGTATATAAACCACATTTTGCATGATAAATATTTATGTGCAAGCAACCACAACATACAAATTACTCACATCGTAGGCAGCTTGTTATGCTATTCACATCCTACATTACAACAATAAGTTTTCAAAGAACACAATCATAAAAAAAACATATATGTCTATTTTGGTTCAACAGCATAGGTGATTCATTCGGCCAAACAAAATAATTGATAAAAAATTTCACAAAACACGTAACAAGGCAAAAGTTTAATTTTATCAAGCTCTTCTGAAATTTTCAAAAGTAAGAAAGTTAAAACATTTATTTTTTAAAATTTATGAAGATATGCAAAAATTTCTAGACGAAATAAATTTTGTTTTTAATAATCATAATTTATGGTACATTTGTTCCAACTATTTTAGGGAAATATGGAAAAAAGAAGTCCCTATATTTTGGTTCTATTGACAAAAAATTAACTCATGATTTTTTTTTTTTTTTTTTTGCAATTTAACCATTGAAACCGATAAACACTTGCAAAATGTACAATATTTGTACCCGGTTAGTGTTGGTTTTAAGGGTCAAATTGCAAAAATAAATAAATAAATAATCATAGATGACTTTTTCGTTAATAAGATTAAAGTTTAAGGACTTTTATAGATATTTTTTTATATGTATTAAATTTATTTGAAGAAAACTTATATTTATCTATTAAAAACATAAAATAAAGTTACCATTTACATCCATTTCACTAAAAAACTCATCTTTTTGTTTATTAAAAAACACAATAATGATAATTTATATATCATTTTTGGGATTTTTGTTGTGATTCTCTTTAATAAATATCAAGGTTCTAAATAACGTAAGGTGTGAGTTTCACGACAAGGTTAAAGTTAAGTCATAACGAGCCTTGGCGAGCCGTAACGTTTTTCAAAGCGTAATTATATTATATACATTAAAAAAGATAAATCATATAATTAGTGAATTTTATCAAATATATCAAGTATTCAGAAATGTTATATTAATATTTAATATAAAAAAAGTTAACAAAAACTCAATTATTTTATGTCAGATTAGAAAAACCAAAAAAAATAACCAAAAAAAATTTGCGGCTTAAAACTCGTGCCATAACGCGATATGGCACGCCTTGACACATTATTTGGATGTCACGCTTATTAAACTCGCATTTGACGTTTTCGTAACGGCTACACTATGTCTCACGCCATGATACACCTTGAGGCCCGCTATGACATGATTTTTAGAATCATGATAAATATCATTACTACAATCAATATGATACCATCTAAATACAATTCCTAAATAGAGCTTTATTATGTATGTGACCTAGAAACACACTCCTTACGACAAATAAACAAAAGTCTTTTTTTTTTAACGGCTATATGACATTAAAGGCTAGCTAAACACTAGCAAACCAAAAATAATTAGCTCATAAGAGGATTTTTCATCCACTCGTTCCGGTTCCATCAAGAATTATGATTCCTATTGCAACACCAATTGAAAGAAAAAGAAACAATGAAATCAGACAACAACTATTTTTTCATCTTCTTGGTCTCAAAGAGAAGCGCATTCTGAAACGTCCACAACACCGAAATCAAGATATAACAAATATATTTAGCATGTGTTTTTATAACTATTGCAACTCTTATATTAGGGTTATTTCCATAAAGCCTTGATATTAACATGAAATGTGTGGTAATGTCATAAGTCCAAATTTGTGTTCATTTAGGTAAGTTTTGTCATTTTGGGCTTTTTATCAGGTTGTGAAGAGAAAAAACAGTAGGTAGACGATGGTGGGTTGAAGATGAAGAATATAGAAGGTGGGTTGGAGATGGTGTCGATGGGGGCTTCTAGTGTTTTGTGGTGAAGAAGGTGTTGTTGGTGGCAAAGGGTGGTGGTGGTGACAGAGTGTGGTGATAGTGATGTGTAAATATGAGGGCTTTTATGGCAATAGTGACCGACTAAGAGGGTGCAAACCCTGATAAAAGATTAAAATGAATTTTTTTTGACAAATATAAGGCATTAATGAACATAAAAACAGACTTTTGTTGATTTTTCGTAAGAAGTGCGTTTCTAGGTCACATAGTATATATAATGAAGCTCTATTTAGGAATATCAGCCTCTGATAATCCTCTATT